GGAAAAAAAAAAAAAAATAAATTAAAAAAAATCTTCTCTCTGTCCCAGGAAACTCTGTTTCAGTTTGGTGGAGCTACCACCTTCTAAACCAAATCACTGACCCCAACAGTACTGTCTGTACTAAGAACCTCTTGGAAATGTGAGATCAGCTGTAGCAAAGGAAAAGAGTCAGCCTGGTTATTGATTGTGTAAACCCTCAGCCCACACAATGAATGAGCCACAGCCTCCCTCCTTATTCCTGCCCCCATTGCACCTACATATTATGCTACAGATTTCAGCTGCCAGATTACCTGTTTTTTTTTCTAAGTAACTTGAACCCATTCACAAAGCAAGATGCACACAAGCTGGAGTCAAATTAATGTTACTCCTACATGTTATAAATATGTCTGAATTAACAGAGCTTCTGAATGCCTGAATTTACAGTACATACAACTTTTATTTCTGTTTGCAAATAGGAGGAGACAACAAAACATGAAAAAATCTTCTGGTATCTGAATGGACTTTGCTGAAGTGACTGTATAAGGCATCAAAGATGTTCACTTCTCATTACTCTCTTTCAAAAACATCCAGCAAACACCAAAAAAAAAGTGCAGGAGCTGAAGTTCTGAAAGGCAGCTTCTTAAAGTCTGATACATTCCTTTTGCTCTCAAGTCTATGAACTAGCAGCAGGTTATTTCATATTTATATGCTCTGGAAATTCTTTTGACTTGATCTGAATTATAAGCAGTTGGCAAGGCTGGTCTCAGGGCTGGAGGGACAATTGCACTTTCTAGGTTTCTTCTATCCCTGTTTAAAAACGTCATTTACCAATCAACTGGATGTACTAAAACACATTGTTGGTTATAAAGATACAATTTAATCAGATCATTTTCAAGAATATAATTAAAAACTTTTATGATAGTTGATCACATAAATCTGCTGTAAGGTTTTAATCAGTCTAGACATCCCTGCTGCTGACTGATTCCAAGGTCCTTTCCCATCTGCACAATTCACTGTAATGCAGTAGGTTAGAAGTTTGCATGCACAAATTGCAGTTATTCGTGGACTTATATTAATTACTTTTCTCTTAGATATTTGAGTGCTTCTTGAGGAATGGGATTCAGAGGTTTTCCTTCAGAAGAGAGCTGCACATAACTTAGAGTTGTAGGGAGATTCAGAGAAACAGGATGATTCCCCAGAGAATGATAAAAAACCCTAAAGGAATCTCTGCTAGTTGACACAATGGTAAAGATATCTGGTAAGCTCTCCTTCACTGCCTATGTATCCAACAATCTTGACTCTGAAAGAGCTGGTACATGCTTTTGAAGACCTTGTGCAGAATAACAATACATACCATCATCTTATGGCTACCGTCTGGATTTATGAGAGGACTTTGTCATGTAAAGCAAGGTGTAGGTAAACTGTAGGCACCTAAATCCTGATCCGGAAACCAAACACAATCCAGCTTTCTTTTCAGCTTCAGTCTTATAGAGGAAAGATCTGGGAGCCTTATGTGCGGAGCTTCCCACTTCTCACATGTGGCCCCAGCCTGAATGCCTTGGGGACAACTCTGAAAGTGTCATTTGATATACTTGACCTCAAGGAGTGCAACAGATCTCACCCTGCTGAGGGCTGAGATTCTCTGAATGTCACTAGAAAAAGCTATTGATGCTTTTCTGTTTTCTGAATATAAGTGTAGATGCATAAGTATATTTTGGACTTAAGTACACAGTCAAGTGTTTCAGGAAACGCAGAGCTGGTGTAGAAAACATAAAGTGCCTGTCCTTGGTTTTC